AGATGAGCATTGCTGACAGCCAATCCAGTATGACCTTATGCACGTCCAGTTTAGCACGGAGGCCATCGGTAGGCATCGGTGTCTGGGCGCACATATTGGGATAGGTCTTCTGGTGCCATCATGTGTTGTCTTATTCTGTCAGTATCCTTGTAGTAGCGTTGATGTCGAAGATGTCTCAGCTACTCAGCATCGATGTTGAAGTCTGCTCCATTTCGGCAAACAGGGGTGTTGTTGGAGATACGCGGAGTCCACTATCCGGAGTGGCGTCGGCGCTCCATTTCACGCCTATCTGCTTCCGTGGAGTTGGTGCTGGTGATGGATTGGTTGCGACGCAGGTTTTATGACTTTAAGGAAAGCCATAGACCATGAGGACTTGTATACCGGTAGAGTACCGTGGTCCTCCCATCCTCATAAGAGCAAATATCTTCCGCTCTTGAGGGTGTATGGCATTGCCATGTTGTTTCCTCGCATAGTGGTATCTCCTCCCCACTAGCTGGAAATCATAGTATTGTGCCTGGCCGGGACTTTACGATCCACTGGAATATAATCCAGCATTATCTCCATTGAGTGGAGAATCATCCATCAGGATTTGGTTGTGACTGTTGAGTCGAGTCTTCTGCTGCGGCGGCGGTGGCGGTTGCGACGATGGCGACGGCGGCAGCTGCTGCAGAGAATTCTCTTAACTCGTACCGGTTGAAGGAGAATCCATCAACTCCCTCTTCCCAGTAGAGTGTTCCTGATGGGTGTAACAGGCGTAACTACCAGGAACACGTGCACATTAGTACATGTGTTGCTCCATTGCTGCCGGTGATGGTTTCATTTGAGGGTATGAAGAGAAATTTGCTTCTCCCCTCAATGTATCCACGGGTAGCAATTCCTGGTATGCTCATCCGTGCCTCCGATGTACGGTCGGTAGAGCGCGTGATTGTGTTGTAGTAGTCCGCATCTCCCTCATTTGTTGACACCTCGTGTTGCTTGACGTTCTCCTGCATCGTCGAAGTTACGTTGGTGCTTGTAACGCTTCGGCTTCTGGTAGAATCGCCTCCAATGCATGTGCCGTAGGGTCGCTAGTGAACGAGTACTTGCCGGATTAGAGGTTAATTACTCCTCAATCTGTCAAGCATCGTGACGTGCACGGAATTTTCTTCCACGCAGGTCATTAGCACCTGGAATCGCGACGCATGATTGGTGTGTCGCCTTGTGAGGTCGATGTTGAGACTGCTCCAATCAATCACCTCGGATGGCTGAGATTCTTGATGAAGACGAATCGTTCAGCTCCTGTTACGAAGTAGTGTCTCGCTGGCCTTGACGAGACGGGTTCATTGCGTCGATGTTGCGTGCAAAATCTGCTCCTTCGCAGCAACTTGAACTTGGGAGCATTGCAAGAGAAAACGGCTACTTCTCTGCAATCCCATAGGTTGTCGATCAATTTGTATGAAGAAGTGTCTCGTGGATGGAGAACATGTCTTCACGCAGCTCCATTGTTTTTCCTTGGTGAAGATCTTGTCGTGTTGATGTCGATCCATTTTTCAGGAAGATGACTTCGTCGAAATATATCGATCGTTATCGACACTAGTTAGAAGATGCGTCGATTGTGCAGTCGCTGGTCACGAATGTTGTCTCCATGATGATGATTTCCCATAAGTGTAGTCTCTGCTGCATTCGTGCCGTTGATTCCGCAACGATCCGACGATCCACGTTCTTCCGTCAGTTTTCTGCATGCAGATATTACCAAGTAGGTAATACTCTGGCAGATTTCTGACTCTGCATATGATTTGCGCACCATATTCGTCACCAAATAGAGGAGTCCGAATTTGGTTGTCCAAATGTTGTCAACGATGTTGAAGACGGCCAATTTCTGGTTCTGCGCGTCATTCTCCCTTCCGGCAGAAGTCGCGTTCCATCTCGTCCGTTGAAGTAGAAGTCGATCTGACGGTCCAAAATTCAAACGATCTGAAGACATTCCTGAGTCCCGTTCAGCAGCTTTCGGAGCACGGGTCAACTCGTTTCCTGCAGCAATTTTCGGACGTCGATGTCGGCTGTCGATCGATCCAACGCTCCGAAGAATTTCGCGGCTAGAGAGGTCCCGTCCCCATTCGCGCTGAAACTCGAACTCGCTCAGCAGGATTTCGTTTTCGTCTCGGTCGATCCGAAGCGTCGAATCTCCATCAGACGGATGTCGTCGGTCGAACCTTCGCAGTGTTCCGCGCAACTCCAAGTGTTGTCGCGAACTGCGAACTTCTCCGAATGTCGCAGGGAGTGTTCCGCCGGAACTGACGCGCTCGCCAGGTCGAGGCCGTTTGCCCCCGCGAAAAATCGGCACCGTCGATGCAGTCCATCGAACGGTTGGCGAGGCGTCTCGCCTTCGAAGGGGACCCCAGGTGCAACTGCGAGAGGTGAGTCGAAACTTAAATGAAAGTGCATTGTACTTACAGGAATTGAAGTTTCGACTCCATCCTCCGCGTGCTCCTGGGGGCCCAGCGGTTAAGCGTTGAGCTGAAACCTTGGCTCTGATTACCAAGTGTCACAGGATCGAATGTCCCGAGGAAATGTTTGCTCAATGTTGCACTATCAATCAGTACAAGGTGCTTTTATACTTCCAGAATACATCAGGTAACCAGGTTTATCCTATCCAAAGGGAATAGACCCTTCTAGAAATGGAATCACCATGCGTATAGCCACGCGAGGCTATTGGCTTTAAGGGATTACGGCAAGATTACGCTAGATATAGCGCGCCAGTACATCCCGAGCCTGGTCGGTGATATAATTATAATAACAGGATAAACCAAAGGATAATGGAAAATGAGGAATAGGAAACCAAATTAGATGAGATAAAGACCAAATGAATGAGGATAAAAATAGGAATGAAATATAAAGGAAATATGGAAAGGGGAAATTAGTGTAACGGGGTCGTACTCTCACAGCAGGTTTCGCCGACCCTCCTCTGGACTGGGTCCCTTGGTGACGCGTTTGCGTTCCACGTCTCCGGCTGCCTTGCTCACGTCCGTGCCTCTCGCACAGACAAGCTCCCTGCCCACACTGTACCCTGTGTCTTTCTCGGTTTGCCCCTCGACTCGTCGGAATGGCACTTCTACCAACCGTCGTCTCACCGTTTCTTTCACTCTCGCGACGTCACCTTTGACGTGTCCGCCTCCAACTCCCACCGTTTTCCCCACCGTTGTCCCTGGGTCACTCCCCCCTGGTTCCAGGTCCCCCCCCCTTCCCCGGCCGCCCCTGTCCCCCCCCCTCCCCGCCCTGCCCTGTCTGGTGTGTCTCACGTCACCCCCCTCCCGACGGTTGTCCCTATCGAGGGGTATGCTGACTCTCGCGGCGCCACGGAGACCCTTCCTCCACCTGTCCCTGCCCTGGTCTCTCCTTCCCTATCGCCGCCGTAGCCACGGCCACAACCGCCTCCCCAGCTGCCGTCGCCACAGCCGCCGCAACCGCCGTCGTCACCGCCGCTAGGGTTTGTGCGTTCAAGGGGTGCTGGGGAGCGTTCCGGAGCAGGTACTGAAGTGAGTTCCCGTTCAGGGGGTGTTGGCATGGGGCTTCCTGGTGGGAGCCGTGGTCCCGCTGGAGATTCTAGTGTTGGTGTCGGGCAGCAGTCGTCGCCGTCATTGCCGGTGTCCGCTCTTCGCCTCCTCGCCCTTCCTTCTCCTGACCGCCCATTGGGGCCTACTCGTTCGCCACCGCCTCCTCCTCTGCCGGTCTACGGCCCTGTGTTTCCTCCAGTAGACTCTTCTCCGGCTCGTTTCCCTCCTCGTTCTCCACCTGTGCCTCCTCCCCTCTCTCCTGACCCGACTCCTCCGTCCCACGTCTGTGCTCGTCCTACCTCCCCTGTTCCGTGCTCTCACCCTATGCTGCTTTGCTCTTACGCGTCTTGTGCTCCTCCGCTCCTCCCGCCTCCTCCTCCGTCGTCGCTCGTTGTGGCCCCGCCTTCGTTTTGTGACTTCCTCTATGCCGCACGTCTCCTTGTTCCTCGTGTACTTGCCTCCCTCGTTACCGACCCGTCTGTTCCTGTCTTGCGCCTTGATGCTCTTGTCGCTGCTGTCGCTGACTTCGCCACTACCCGTCGCCTTGACTACGCTACCGCTCTGGTCTCTGACCCTGACTGCCCTCAGTCCATCGGGGTTATGGCTGCCCTTGGCAGTGACGTCCTAGAGGACAGACAGTACGAGTTTGCTTTCCTGTCAGAGGCCGCTCCCCATCTCTGTTCCATGCTGCTAGTCCCTGAGGGTGACACAAACGCTCTTGATATCCCGACCCCTCGCACCTACGCTAAGGCCACCTCGGGACCCTGGGCCTCCCTGCGGATAGGCCACCGGCTGTAACCCTTCGCCGAAATCCTGTAGAAGAACTGCGCCGATGGCAATATCGCTAGCGTTGGTGATCACTTCATATGGACGGCCAGGATCGGAGATGCGAAGGACGGGCGACGATGTGAGGGCGAACTTCAGTTGGTCAAATGCAGCTTGCTGCATCTCTCCCAACAAAGAACAATCGTGATCTTTGAGTCGGCCAATTAGCGAGGCGGATATCCCAACAATATTGGGGATAAACCAGCGGACGTAATTGACAAAGCCCAAAAAACTCTGCAGCTCCTTGACATTGCGGGGTGGCTTCCATTCCTATATGGTCTTGATTTTCTTGGGGTCGATTTTCACTCTTTCGGTAGAAACGAGGTGGCCCATAAATTTCAACTCCTGCTTAAGAAAGTCGCACTTAGACCCTTTGGTGATGAGTCGGTTTGTGTGCAGCAGCGTGAAGACTCCATCAAGATCCTTTAAGTGCTGCTCCCTGCTGCTGCTGTAGATTAATGTATCGTCGAGGTAGATGATGACGGATTTGTCCAAGAGTTCCCTGAAAATTCCATTCATGGTCATTTGGAAGGCCGAGGGCGCGTTCCTGAGGCTAAAAGGCATCACCAAGTACTCGTAGCTGCCATATCGGGTTTGGAATGCCGTCTTGTGAAAATCGTCGGCAGCGACGCGAATCTGATGGTAATCTCCTCGCAAATCAATCTTCAAGAAAAACCTGGCACTACGAAGTTGGTCGAGAAGTTCGTCGCTCGCTGGATCAGGGAACGCGACTTGATGGTGATCTGGTTGAGCGTGTGGTAGTCAATGCACATTCTGAATCCTCCATCTTTCTTCGGCGTGAACAGTATCCGGGCGGCGTAGGGTGACGTGCTGGGCTGGATAAATCCCTTTGTCAGAAGGTAATCCAGCTGCTGCTGTAATTCTTCCAGTTCCGGTTGGCTGAGCCGAAATTGGCGCTGTACCGTCGGTTGGGCACCTGGTTCCAACTCGATTATGTGGTCCTTAGGACGGCTCGGCGGGAGTCCAGCTGGTAGATCGTCTGGTAAAATGTCCGGGTATTTCCAAATCAGCTTCGCTATGTTCGGAGGGACGGCCTTGCACAGCTTCTCGATATGTTTGTTCTCGACTATCGATGTCACATCGCAAAGTTCAACGACGTATGCTGCAGCTCCAACCTTCATCACGCGCTTGAAGGTGATCGCATGGACCTGGGTGCTTCGCATGTGAGGCTCTATCTACTTGGGCAGCTTGTGGGAAATTCCATCGAGCTTGATGCTGCAGCCGCCCGTCATTCAGCCGATCTTCGGGTTGTACCGTCCCAACCAATCATGTCCCAGCAGCACATCGCACCTGTCAAGAGTCATCGCCAGTAGCCCCATGCGAAATTTTACGTGCTCTCCACAGGTAAAACTGACGTTTTCCACCCTCTCTCGTATTGCCAGCGGCATGCCATCCACCATTCGGGCGTCGATTTCAGGTAAACACTTGAGTAAGGGTATACCCTGTTTTTAAGCCATGTTCAATTGTATGAGACTGTGACTCGCACCTCCATCAATGAAGATCTTCAATAACATTCCGTTGACTTTACCCTCCACCAACACAGGGTGATCAGCAGTTTCGTCCCCCTTATTCCTCTGGGTCCGGTCGATTGCAGCAATCGGGATCACGACCCGGTGGGGACTGTGTGGTTCGGGCGAAGAAGCCTGCCTGTCAGTAAGGGGCCCGGTACTTACTGACGCGACCCATATCCGGTCGCTCCTCCGGCTTCTTCTCCATAGCATTCTGGAGGGCTATGAATTCTTGGCAGTTGCGTCGAATGTGACCCGGCCGGCCACAATGGTAGCATAGCCTTGTATTTTGCAGAGCAACTGCGTAAATATCCACTACGTCCACCCTTTTTATTATGGCGCACAAGTACTGTTCTCGAGGGCGACCTCCGTCGTAGAAGTTCGTCCTCGGCCTCGTGATCGAATCAGCGACTTTGACGAGCTGGATGTAGTCTTGTAACCGCTTTGCAGGGCGTTGCAGTTTTATCTGGTACTGTATTTTAGGCTTCAAGCTGCCCATGTACCTGTTGAAGATGTCCATTGGTTGGAAAGGATAAACATGGTTAGCTGATGTACTTTGGAAGTATGAAAACGCCTTGTATCTATCGATAGTGCAACTTTTCTCAACCAATTCGATCTTATGACACTTGGTAATCAGAGTTTTTCTCACTCGGACGTGCTCAGCTAAGCAGCAGCCAGGAAAGCCTGCCTCAAAAAAACGTCAGGAGTGACTAATTCGGCGTCAAACATGGTAAGCACTAGCTCCATGTTTTTAAAATTAATCCCTCTGCGCATATTTTGAACAAGATGGCGAACTTCTACAACGCCGATTGTACTGTACCCAGCAGCTTTTCGCCCACATCGCCACCCTACAGGAGGAGATGCGAGCCGATCGCGAAGCTTGGCAAAATGATTCCGAGCGAGTAACTTGACTCGCCGGTGCGCAGCACGAAATGACAACGGCGATGACACAGCAGTCGCAACAGTTTCTCGAGGCTCCAAAGCCGCGCCCACCTGAACCGTTCGATCCGAGCGATCAAAATTCTGACGTCCGCAGATAGATCGTCTACTTCGCAGACGTCCGATGGAGCTCGCTGCTTTGGGATGGTCAGCGCGTGCGACTCGCGGCGATACTGATGCGAGGGCCGGCACTCCAGTGGATCGGCGGCAATAGTGCAGTTACAGTGACGGAAAATGTTTAGCACTTTCCTGAATATAGGCCGATTATGGGCACTTGTACATTAAGCCTTAATTTTTTTCCTCACCCACTGTACGTAGGCCAACCTAAGGACATGCTTGATGCTTGACATTTGAAAAACCTACTATTGTTGACAGGTAAAACAAGACAAATGCAATCATGGTACATCCGGACCATTAGTTCTAGACGCAGGCAGCAACTTTCAAAAGCCCAAAACTAGTACCTAGTCCACCGCCCTTTCTCCTTAATCACCGCCTTCACCCTCCTGGGCATGCTGTCGATCAAGTTGGTGAACACCTCAGATTGGATCTTCTCCCATTCCTTCTGTACCCGCTCCCACAGGTCCACCATACCAGTGGGAGGCCTCTCATGCTTAGCCAGCTCCCTCTTGAGATGAGCCCAGAGATACTCAATGGGGTTCAGATCAGGACTTGAAGAAGACCACTCCAGCACCCCAAACTCCTGCTCTAGAAGCCACTGCTGCATAAGATGGGAATTGTGTTTGAGTTTGTTATCATGCTGGAAGATGGCCTGTCCATCCTATCATCGATTTTTCACATGAAACCCGCACCCTCATACGACATGCAGCCCCAAATCATCAAGCAACCGCCCACATGTTTCACCTTCTGCTTGATCTGGTTGTGTTGGAAGGTCGTACCTTCACGAACACAGGCGTACCTGTGGCTGTTAGAGCAGAACCAATTGATCTCGGTCCTATCCGACCAGATCATGCATTTCCAGTTCTCAACAGTCCAGTAAACGTGGGCCCGTGCGAACTCGAGCCTATTGCGGATGCCTTTCTTAGAGAGGCGCGGCTTGTTAGGCTGTTGGACTGCAATAAAACCTCTAGATTTCATAGTGTTACACACCGTCCTATGATGCACCGTAATGCCGTGCTGAGATTCGACGATTTTGGCAGCATGAATCGAGGTTTTTGCCTCGCCGCTAGTAATCGCCCTAACGATCCCGCGACAGATTCTATCCATGACTGTGCGTGGGCGACCAGCAGATGGCATTGAAGGATGCACATCCTCGCGGCTAGACTCTGAAATAACCTTGAGTTCGATATCATGTACCGTACTCTTCCCCACGCCAAGCTGCTTCGCGATTCGCCTTGTGCTATACTTCCTCCGCAACAGGGTTAAGATCCGTGCGCGACGCGCGTCATCTAACGGTCTCATCTCAGCCTAGTCGAAGCTGCGCGTATAGCCTATTACCTGCCTGGTCGAAACTCACGGGTGCAACTATGGAGAATATGTTGTTGTCGAAAACAGATTTACTCAGCCGCTCGGCCAAAACTATCCAGATGCAAACACGCAATCCAAATCTTGTCCTTGCTATTCGTGCGACCCCTAAAAAATGCAAAAGCGTTACCTCCAAACAAATTGCACTCGTAACGTACAACAAAGCTTTGGAGATTCAGTGTTACCTTGGTTAAAAGCCTTCGAATCATTCTTAAAAGTTCATTTTATCCAGGCACTACTCTCTGTCATTGTATCCAAGGCGAAGCCATGTGGCAACAGTTCCGCATCGACCTGCTGAAACATTTCGAAATGATACATTCCGGTTTCCTTGCCGGGAAAAGATTCATCACCATCGACTGTTTGGGAGTGTAGCACAAGCGAGCAACTACTGGACCAGAGGCGGGGTCAGCAAGTGCGACAGCAGCAGGCGCGGCAAGTGGCGTAAATGCAGCGTGGTCGCGTAAGAAGCAGGCAGACGCACAGGAGTCAAGTGTGAAGGACAACGAAGCAGTAGCAGCACACGAAGGAGGCACGAGTGTGGAGCCTAGACCAGACAAAGCAAACGGTCCTACGCGTGACGCAGCAAGGGTCTCTGTACTACACATAGGTGCTACGCCTAAGCTAGCGAACACAGGGTAATAAGATCCGGACACACTAGAAGCGTCAGCATACAGAGAATGCAAGGCAGAACTAATCTGATCCATGTCTAAATCAAGAACAGGCACACCGTAGCGCAACAGACTGGGCCAGTCAGGGAGGTCCGGGGCCGGGCCGAAGCGGCGATGAAAGAGGTCGTCGAGGCGGCGGAAGCAGCGGGCGGTCGGGTGCGGACGGCGGCACACAGTGCCACGAAGGGGCCCGGTCTGGAGCTGGTACTGGCAGCCCACACCATCGAAGCCGCCGGTAGACGCCAAGCTGCGAGGACCGCCACCTTGGCCACCCCCTTCAGGAGCTCCCGGCCATCCTGGCGGGAGGCGGGCCCATGGCTGCTGCTGCAGCTGCTGCTGCTCCTGGGGCTGCTGCAGCTGCTGCTGATGCTGCTGCGGCTGCTACTGCTCCTGGACACCTGCCCTAGCCCCCTCGTCATAACCACTATCGCCGCCACCACCACCACGTCCAACCTTGGGGTCGCGACAGCCCCGACGCTGTCGCTGCTGCTGCGGGAAGGCCGCCACTGCGGTCTCAGAGGCAGGAACAGCTGTAGCGACCGCAGCAGAAACGTCCGCGTACGTGCACTAGGAGGGAGCACAGCCCTGAACTATAGGGACTGCCACAACATTGCTCGACTGAGCGATAGTGCGCTGGCGAGTCTCTATCTCAGAAAGGGCAGCGACAAAAGCGGTCCGGGTGAGGTCACCAGGGTGTTGGCTGAGGAAGTGGTCGCGGGCAATGGCTAAGCGGTTAGGGAGGCGCATGGCAATAAGGTATAGGGTAGCGCAGAACGGCGGGGGGAAGGCAGTGAGCTGGGCAGTAGTGCTAGCAGCACGGTAGCTAGTCTCTAGCGCACTGAGGGGAGTGGCGATATCAGCGACAGTGGGGAAAGCAGAGAGATTGGGGAAGAGCATGGGGAGGATCAAGCGGCCAGCTGAGGTGGAGGCAGGCATGAGTAGCGTGCAACTACTACATCTAAGAAGCCTTTGGCGTTTGCCACAGCAGTGAAACGCGGACACTCAGAAAGGGGAAGCGCATGACTAATTGCAAGCTGCGCTACAGCATCGCGAGAATCCCAGACAACGCGAGCGAGTGCAGCCGCAGCAAAGGCTTCACTCTCAGCAGTGGTGGGGTCAGCAGTGAGGGGATCAGGGGCGGAGGGGCGAGGAAGCAAGCCATCAACATGCATAGCCAGGGAGTGCCCATCCTGGCGCTGACCTGTCACGTGCCTGCGGAGATCGACAAGCCAGGCGGCGAAGTCGATCGCGTGCCCCTCCGCGTCCAGACGTAGCATGGCGTTCGCCATCACGCAACCACAGTGGCACCGGGACACAGCGACACAGCGGCACAGGGACTCAGCCACACGGTGAGACAGCGACGCGGCGGGAGGACACTCCAGAACGAGAACCGGACGGAAGGTCGAGGAGGGCGCACGAGGAGCCTGCGGGCGCGCAAGGGGCCGAGGCGCACGAGGGGCCGGCCAAGTGCGGGAAGGGGCCGACGCATAAAGAGTGGGGCCGGCAAGGCACATGGGGCGGGCGATGCGCAGGAGAGGGGCCGGCTGGGTGGTAGGGGCTGGCTAGGCGCGAGGGGCGGGCGAGGCGCGGGGGGCCGGCTGAGCGCAAGGGGCCGGCTGAGCGCAAGGGGCTGGCTGAGCACAAGGGGCCGGCTGAGCGCAAGGGGCCGGCGGGGCGCAAGGGGCTGGCTGGGCGCAAGTGGCCGGCTGGGCGCAAGGGGCCGGCGACGGTGCGAGGGGCCGGCTAGGGCGCGAGGGCCCGGCTAGGGTGCGAGGGGGCGTCTATAGCGCGAGGAGCCGGCTAGGCGCGAGGGGCCTGCGATGGCGTGAGGGGCTAGCAACGGCGCAAAGGGCCGGCTGCGGCGCAAGGGAGGCCGTCTACTCATGATACCATGTTAGAATACTAGGATAAAAAATGAAAAACAAGAGAGAACAAGCAAGATACAGAGTTGGGTTGTACTCTCTAAGAACATACACCTATTCTAGCCTAAAACTTCTACAAACAGAATGTATGTATAAGTTAACAATACTCATGTGTCTTGCCTTGCCTATGCTAAATTATATATTTGATACATACATAATGGTAGGCTTGGTAGGTGT